AGCCAAACAGACTAAAGCTGTGAACAATCTCAATCTCTTCACCATCCATCCTGATGCTGCCAATTGGTCCAGTGGTGAGAATCTTTGTCTTATTGACATTGAGCCTCAATCCATATTGAAGGCTGCAGTCCTTGACTCTCTGCAGCACACACTTTGAGTCCTCCTCAGTTTCAGCAAGCAGGGTTGTTTCATCTGCATAACGCAGATTGTTAACAGATCTTCCAACAATCCTGATGCCGCATTTCTCCTCATAGAGCCCAGCCTCCCGGATATCTGTTCTGCATACAGGTTGAAAAGGTATGGAGACAGGACACATCCCTGGTGTACGCCCTTCCCAATTTTGAACCATGCAGTGTTTCCCTGCTCTGTTCTGACAGGAAGAGATCTATATTTGTTCCCATTCCAAAGAACCTGACCCAACAGAGTGTGGAAACTATAGAACAATATCGTTGATTTCACATGCAAGCAACATTTTGCTGAAAATTATCCAGAAATGACAAGAACAGCACATCAGCAGAAAACTGCCAGAAGTCCAGGATGGGTTTCGAAGGGGTCGTGGTACTAGGGATTTTGTAGCTAATGTCAGATGGATATTGGCTGAAAGCAGGGAGTACCAGAGGAATGTCTATCTGTGCTTCATTGATTATACAAAGGTGTTTGACTGTGTGGACCATAACAAACTGTGGCTGACTCTGAGAAGAATGGGAATCCCAGAACACTTGATCGTGCTAATGCGAAACTTATATTTGGACCAAGAAAGATAACTAAATTTTTATAATTTCACAGACTTTGATCTTTCTTACTTATTACTAGCTTCTTGTGGACTTAGTATGTGTCATTATATAAAAAGTTCAGTTCAAGGTCTTGACCCATGTGATGGTTACACAGGTTCATATATGCTGCGGGTACACTGCAGTTAGGGTGTGTAAAGTTCTCCAATATAGGGATGTTCACAGGTCTCAATTCTCCCTGTTTAGCTGATGTTGGGATCCTTGTGAAGCACAAAGCTGTGACCACAGACTGCACACATACTGCAGTATTTGGGACTCAGGGAGGACAAGTCAACTGTGAAACATAATGTGAAGAAACACTTATACTAAATAAATAATCTAATAGGGAAATGAACACAGTCAGATCCGGTGTTTATTTAAGGAGAACGAATAGATGCTGGGTGGGCTGGTTAATGTTTTGCTGGCATACTGCAGGGACTGTGGTCAGTATTGTCAGGCAGGCACACTCCCATGCTTTGTAAAAGGTTGGATGCAGGTCCGGCCAGTCCAGCTTGGGAACTATAGGATTCCAATATATTTGAAACCAGATTCAAGTCCACATCCACAGGAGACATAGCCGACTCTCCGGCACAAGAATCTTCCTCATCTGAATTGTTATTGGTATTCTGGGATACAGGTTCCTTAATCATGAAGGAGAAAAGAGAAAGGAAATCAAATGATGAGATTACATTAGGTTGGCAACTCCAACAAAACTAATGAGCAACAATGGAAACTTGTATTCCAAACGGAAAAAGAAATTTCTTGTCTTTGTGATAGTGAAAATGAGATAAAGTAAGTTGAAACATAGATATCTCTCCAGGGAACATTTCTATAAATTGAATAAATTTCTCTTTTGAGACAAAGCAAAACCTGCTGGAATGTCACCTATGAGCTTGTTCTGACTTGATGGTACACAACAACATCCTAATAGATTCAGAAAGGAAAATCAGTTAAAAACACACATACCATTTGCTTCTGGGTGGTGAAACTTTTGCCAATATTGGTGTGCGCCAGTTCCCGGTCCATCTGGGCCATGTATGACTTCAGATTATCAAGAGTCCCCTTCAGAGATGCCTCTTCCCCAGGCTCTTGGGCTTCAAGGTCCAAGTCATCATCACTGTCTAAAGATTCAAAGTCTTCCTCATCCAGATCATCAGAGTCGGATTCATGAGGTCTTGGCCCTATGTAACCACCAAAGTAGAAATAATCATTTAGTAGGCTGTTTTTTTGTTTGTTTTAGTAATGATACCTTTCAAAAGAATTAGAATGTTACCTACATAAAGAGATCGATTTACATAGTAAAACTGCTTAATAAAAATCTATTACAAAAATGAAATTGTTAGGTGGACCAGACGACTTCTCCAAAAGAGAGAAAAGAGAACCTACAGGTTAGGGGAAAATACTTGGCAATAAATACTTAATAAAGAAATCATCTCTAAAATGTCTAGAGACCCTAAATACTTAACAACAAAAAACCTGAAAAATCTTATTGAAAAACTGGTAAAGGACATGAATAGATATTTCAATTATGATATCCAGATGGCCAATGAACACATAAGGAAATGCTCTCAATCACTATACATCAGAGATGTAAATTAAAATAACAATGAAATATCATCTCACTCTAGCAACAACAGCAAATTTCAACAGGTCAGAAAATCAAAGCTGGTGAGGGTACGGAGAGAGTGGACACTCATATATTGCTGGTGGGACTGTAAAATGGTACAACCATGGTGGAAAACAGTATGCCACTATCTTAAAAGATGGAAACAGAAATACTGTGGGATTCCACAATCCAGCTACTGGGCATATGTCTCAAAGAAATAAGATCTGGGACCAGCTATATGGATGCCTATGTGTGGCCATTAACAGATGAATGGACTAACTATGGTATATACAATGGAATATTACAAAATGCTGAAGAACAAAGGATTTATCAAACATATGGACGAACCTAGATGACATTGCTGTTTTTGTGTACCATTGAATTGGAACTGATCCTCCAGAGGGTTTTCAGAGGCAGTTAATCACACAGGAGGAGACTACCCATCCTTTTCCAACAGAGTGGGCAGCTGGATTTGAAATATGTACTTTGGGGACTGCAGTGTAAATCCTTACCATTAGGCCACAAGGATGAGTGAAATCAGTCAGACACAAAAGGACAAATATTGTACAAGTCCACTATTATAAAACTCATTGCCAGAGTCAGTCCTAAATCATAGCTATACGTCCATTGGGTTTCTGAGGCTGTCCACTGAATAGGAGAAGACTAGCTCTCTTTCTCCAGAGAAGTAGCTCATGGATTTGAACTAACAGAGAAGAATGGACTTTGGGTTGACAGCAAAACTGGCTACAGACTATACCACCAGAACTCCCTAACTGTATAGTGTTGTTGTTGTTATATGCCATTGAGTTGGAACCAACTGAAAGCTGACCCCAGTTAAGTTTTCAGAGGCAAATTTTCTCAGAAGGAGAATGCCCATCTTCTGGTGGATTCAAACCGCATGCTTTTGGGGTGGAAGCACAACACCTTATCATTAGGCTACTTGAGCTCCCTAGTATATATACTAGGCAAGTAGAAAGTTGGGTAAAGGGAAAGGCTATAGAAAAGGAAGGCTTATTCACATTTAAAAAATCCCTTTTATAAAACAGTAATGCTGGCAGACATTTGCAGAAAAGCACAGAAGCTTAGTGGAGCCTGCGTTTTTAAAATGGTATTTTTTAAAAATCTCTATTTGTTGAGCATTTACACAGCAAAGCATACATAACACCAAGCAACATCAGCTGCCCTTATTTCGCAGGGCGAATGTTCGCAGAAGAATTGTACACCATTCTGTTTTCCTTTCCTGAGTTGCTTCTGTCCCATTAATATAAACTTGCAGGCCCTTAGGGATCCTATCTAATCTTTCTAAGTTCTATTATCATTTTGAACCTATTGACATAGTTCCTAAAGGAGCATAATGCTCATGGCAGTTTCCCCCCCCCCCCTTATTTACTAGTTAAGCTAGACTGTCTGGTTTGAAGATGATTTCAAGGGATAATTTTGGTTTAAGGTTTGAAGACTATCTCAGGAAAGATTTACCCTTTAGAAATATAGAAATTCAATTAATTAGAAGGTTTTAAAATTAAAACTACCTAACATATGAGGACATTTTGAGTAAACATTCAAGTCATATAGAAAATATCATCTCAAAAGAAATTATCATCTCACATCTCACTCTTGTAGGGAAATATCTTTTAACAGGTTTGGTGGATATTTTGATCTCTCTCAATGTAATGTATACGTATATATAAAGCCGATAGTTTTCTTTTTTTTTTCAAGTGATATCATTTACACACACAGAGAATGGTAAGACTTTGTTTCACATAATTTGTACATGTTGTCAGGAGAGGCCAGTCCTTTTAAGGGGACACTATGCTTGGAAGAGCAAAGGGCCAGTGAAGGAGAGGAAGATCCTCAAACAGAAGGACCGATACAGTGAATGCAGTCCTGTACATAAGTACAGATTAAGTATAGAGGATGGCCAAGTATAGGGTGGCCATTTGATTTGTTGTACATACAGGGATACTATGAGTCCGAGTTGACTTGGCAGTACCTACCAACAACAGCAACAGCAAATATATTAAAAAGTATATACACAACACATACCTATGAAAGCCCATGGCCACTGAGTTGAATTCTCCCTTGGGTTTACAAGGCTTTCTTTACAATGAGAGGAGACAACACGTCTTTCTCCCGTGTGATCTCTAGGGCATTCCATTTCCCAGAGATGTGCTGTCTTTTGGTAAGCAGTGCAATGGACTACGACATCAGAGCTCGGGGTGTGTGTGTGTGTGTGTGTGTGTGTGTGTGTGTGTGTGTGTATGCACATCTATACGTATAAACATGCATATGTACATAAATATTTTTACTACTTTGGAAGTTCTCTCCTGGATTATATACACAGACTTCATTTTTAAATAAAGGCTGCACAGTATTTTATAACAGGAATACACTATGAGGTAGTTAATCTCTTTTCTCTTGGTTACTATCTGATGTTTTTAAGTGCTTTTGAGCTGACCCTGACTTATAAAACCCTTATGTGCAACAGATCAGAACCTTGGCTGAGCTTGTGTCATCCTCACAATTTCCACAGTGCACAAATCCACCGTTCCAGTCACTGTGTCGATCCATGTGGCTGAGGATCCTTCCCTTCATAGGCTCTCTACTCATCCAAGCATGATGTTCTTTTCCATTGACTCACCTCTCCTGACAACATGCTCGAAGCATGTGAGAGAAAGTACCACCACCCTCACCTCTAAGTAGCACCCAGGCTGCACTTTTTCCAAGATAGATTTGTTTGCCCTTTCAGCAGTCTACAGTATACTCAATCACCTTCTCCAAGAACAAAATTCAAAGATAAATTAAAAGGTAAATATTAAGAATACTCTCATTTTTTCCTAGGGAGCTCTGGTGGCTTAGTGGTAAGGAGTTGTGCTACCAACCCAAAGGCATGCAGTTCAATTTCACAAGTTGCTCTGTGGGAGAGAGATGGGCAATCTCCTCTCATGTAATTTACTACCTCTGAAAACATGCTGGAAGGTCAGCTATGGGTCAGTTCCGACAGTCCTTAACAACAGTAACTTTTTGCAATTAGAACGAAGCAATAAACACCTTAAACATGCATCTTTTTAAAAAGTGATGTTATTGTTAGGTGCTGTCAAGTTGAATACAACTTATAATGACCTTAAAATCAACTGATCTCAACTTGGTCCTAACCCATACCATCCTCATCATCTCTGACACACTTGAGCCCATTGCTCAGTCACTGTGTCAAGATAGAGGGCCAGAGAAAGAAAGGAAGACTCTCAAGAAGATGAAAAAGGGGGAGCTCTGGCGGCATAGTGGCAAGGAGCTGCAACTATAATCCCAGAGGCACACGGTTCGAATCCACCAGATGCTCTGCCGGGGAAGGAGGAATAATCTCCTCCTGTACCAGTCAGATCTGATTTGACGGTACACTCACACACACACAAAAAGAATAATAATTAACAAAATTTTTAAAAAAAGAAGATGAAAAAGTAACACACAGCCAATTTTAGATGTATCTTTCACAGAGTAAAGTCCTCAGAATAAAATTGCTAAGTCACCAAACTGTCCTTCTAGAATGTTCTACAAAAAGGCAGCTTCTTACATTTCCACCCTAGAGTTTGACAGTGCTCATTCTCTGACTCTTGAGAAACTGAATATTATCTATCTTTTAAATTTCTGTTAATTTGATAGGGGAATAAAACATTTATTTTGTAATTACTTGATTATTAGTGCTACTTAGCTATTTGCAAGTATTTATAAAATACATTGCAATATATTCAGGTCTGCATTTCTTCTTCAGTGAACAAACTATTCACATCCTTTGCTGACTTTGTTTTTGTTGTTGTTAGGTGCCCTCGAGTCAAGCACAACTCATAGCGACCCTATGAACAAAAGATCTGAACACCATTCTATCTTGCACCATCCTCACACTTTTTGACACACAGTAGCACATTGCAGCAGTCACCGTATCAATCCACCTAGCTGAGGGTCTTCCTCTCCTTCACCAACCCTCCACCCTTCCCAACATCCTGTTATTCTCCAAGGAATAGCACCTCCTAGCAACATGTCCAAAGTATGTTAGCCTCCAAATAGCACTCCGGCTGCACCATCTCCAAGACATATTTGTTCATTCTCTTGGCTGTCCATGGGATGGATGTTCAGTGCTCTTCTCCAACACCACAGCTCAAAGGCGTCAATTCTTTTACTGTCATTCTTATTGTCCAGGTCTCGGACACATAGCTAGTAACTGGAAAGACTATGGTCTGGATCAGATGCACCTTAGTCTTCAAATTAACATCACTACTCCTCAATAATTTGGAAAGTTCCCTAACTGCAGATTTTTCCCAGTACAATGCATCTCCTTATTTCCTGACTGCTGGTACCAAACACATTAATTGTGGATCTAAGCAAGATGAAGCTGTTGACAGTTTCATCTATCCATCCATTCTCCATCCATCATGATGCTGCCTATCAGTCCAATGGTAAGAATCTTTACTTTCCTGACATTGAGATGCAATCCATACCGAAGGCTGCATTCCTTGATTTTCTGCAACAAATGTTCAAGTGAACACTAAACAAAGAAGATAGTTACAGTAGTGTAGTGGAAGAGCCCAATTGAGAAGTCAGTTGAAATGAGGAAAATCAATAACACACATTGTTTAACAACTGGAACATGGAACATACATAGCTTGAATGTTGAAAAACTGGAAATTGTTAAAAATGAAATGGAATGCATGAATATCCACATACTAGACATTAGTGAGATGTGATGGACCATCTTTGGCCACTTTGAATTAGATAATCATATGGAATATTATGCAGGGGATAAAAACAGAGGAAGAATGGTGTTGCATTCATAGTAAAAAAGTCAATTTCAAGTTCTATTCTGAAATACAATGTTCTAAGTGATAGGATAATATCCATATGCATACAAGGAATACCTGTTAACACGACTAATATTCAAACATATGCTCCTACATCTAGAACCAAAGAGGAAGAAATTGAGAATTTTTACCAAATTTTGCAGTCTGAAATTGATAGAACATGCAATCAGGATGGGTTAATAATTGGTGGCTGGAATGCAAAAGCAGGCAACAGTGAAGAAGAACAGTACTTGGGAAATATGGGCCTGGTGATAGAAAAGAAGCTGGAAATAGAATGACTGAATTTTGTATTTATAATGACTTATTCACTGCAAATACCTTTTCTAAAAAACACAAAAGATGGCTTTACAGGTGGATCTCATCTGATGGGCTGCAAAGGAATCGGATTGACTACATTTGTGAAAGAAATCATCAGAGAAGCTCAATATCAGCAATCAAAACTAGGTCAGATCATCAATTACTCATATGCAAGTTCAAATTGAGGCTGAAGAAAATGAAAATAAGTCCACAGGAACCAAGATATGATCTTGAATCAATTTCATCTGAATTTTATGATCATCTTAAAAATAGGTTTGGAATAAGCAAAGCACTCCTTAAAAATAGAAAAAAGGTAGGAGGCATCTCACAAATCGTACTATAATGCCATGGTGGTTAAGGCAGCATGGTATTGGTACAATGACAGACACATACATCAATGGAATAGAATTGAGAACCCAGTAATCAGCCCATCTACCTATGGTCAACTGATTTTTGACAAGGAGATGAAATCAGTTAAGTGGGAAAACAGTAGCCTTTTTAACAAATGGTGTTGGCAAAATTGGAAAAATATCTGCAAGATCTACACCTCACTCCATACACAAAAACCAACTCAAGGTGGATTATGGATCTAGGACTAAAACCAAGGACTATAAACTTCATTAAAGAGAGATTGAAAGAACTCTAGTAGTCCTATTCCACAACATAAACAGTCTTCCAAGTATCCTGAAAAACCCACAACCAGGAGAAGATAAAATAGATGAATGGGACCTTCTAAGAATCAAATCCCTATGCACATCCAAAATCTTCTCCAACAGGGTAAAAAGGGAAGCCACAGACTGGGAAAAAGCATTTGGTAATGACATGTCAGATAAGGGACTTATATCTAGAATTTATAAAATACTTGAACACCACAACAAGATAAAGGTAAATAATCCAATTGAAAAATGGGCACAGGATATGAACAGACACGTCACCAAAGAAGACATTCAGATGGCCAACAAGCACATGAAGAAATGTTCAAAATCCCTAGCTCTAAGAGAGATGCAAATCAAAACAACTATGAGGTATCATCTCACCCCAGTCAAAATAGGAAAATTTAACAGAACAGTAAGCAACAAATGCTGGTGAGGTTGTGGAGAAACTGGAACCTTATTCACTGTTGGTGGGAGTGTAAAGTGGTGCAACCACTGTGGAAGGAGGTATAGCACTTTCTCCAAAAGTTGCAAATAGAAATACCATTTGACCCAGCAATTCCACTATTGGGAATATATCTCAAAAAGACCATAACTGACATCCAAGCAGATATATGCACACCCATGTTTATTGCGGCTTTGTTCACAATAGCAAGGAGTTGGAAACAACCCAGGTGCCTATCAACAAACGAATGGATAGAGAAGCTGTGGTATATTCACACAATGGAATACTATGCTGCATTGAAAAACAAGGAATTTGTGCAATATTATTCAAAATGGGTGAGCCTGGAGGACATTATGCTGAGTGAAATATCTCAGTTGCAAAAGGACAAATACTGCATGGTGCCACTGCTGTAAAACGGGACTGATATCAGAGTTGGGGTAAGACTGAGAAAAATTGGATAAATTGTGTATACTGCACTAAAACAGATGAGGGAGAGAATAATTTAAAAGCGATGTATGATAGGGTATTATGGTTATCACAAGAGTCCACAATTAAGGTTGCAGAGTGGAATGTACTTGGGGTGGTGGGAGGGGTGCGGGGGGATTGTGTACCAGGGAGGGAGTTTTTCTTTTACTTTTCAAAGAGAGGAGCGAATTGGGGCGGTGGGGGGCTGGGCGGGGAGAGAAGTGCAGCAAAGAATGAATGGAAATCTAAAATCTCTGTAAATGTTCATTAAAATTATTAAACTAAAACAAACAAAAAAATAGGTTTGACATTATGCTGAGTGAAATATCTCAGTCACAAAAGGACAAATACTGCATAGTGTCACTGCTATAAAATGGGACTGACGTCGGGGTTGGGGGGAGACTGAGAAAGATGGGATAAATTGTGTATACTATATTGAAACAGATGAGGGAGAGATCTGTGTAAAAGGGATATGTGATTAGGTGTTATTGTCATGACAGGAGTCCAGAATGAACACTGTATAGTGGAGTGGACTTGGGGGGGGAGGGATTGTATAACAATGAAAGAATTTTTCTTTTACTTTTCAAAGAGAAGAGCAAACTTGGAGGAAGGGGTGGGCAGGGATAAAAGTGCACCAATGAATGAATGGAAATCCAAAGTCTCTGTAAATTTTCATTAAAATTAATGATAATAATAAAAAAAAGAGGGGGGGAAAGAATAACTAACCACACACACACACATACACACAAAATAGGTTTGAGGCATTGAACACCAATGATCAAAGACCAGATGAGTTGTGGGATGGTATCAAGCTATCATCCATGAAGAACTCAAAAGGTCATAAAAACAGAGGAGAAAGAAAAAATTGAAATGGATGTCAGAAGAGACTCTAAAGACTACACTGGAACATCGAAAGCCAAATCTAAAGGAAAACATGTTTAAGTGAAAGAGCTCAACAGACAATTTCAAAGGGCAGCTCAGGAGGACAAAGTAAAGTTTTATAATGGAATGTCAGCCAGCTGGAACTAAAGAGTAAAATGGGAATAACTTGCTCTGCATTTCTCAAGCTTGTTGACTTAAGGGCTGTTTATTAGTATTTTTCCTATTGATCTGTAAATACAGTAAAACCCAAAAAGGAAAAAACAGTATAATATGAGCGCCATTAAAAACCTACATAAATATACAGTAACTCATTTAACAAGTATATACTGTGCCTACTAAATCAGGCACTGTATTGGCATTTTCTGCCAAATCACTTAGTTGGGCAGAAATATCACGGCTGAAAGCAATTAACCATAAAGAGAAACCACAGTGTGAAAAACAATGTATATGAACTTTATGAACTCTGTATGAAACCAGTATAAAATAAAATAAAAAAAAAGAAAACAAATATTTCACCTTCTGAGTCAATTGCACCAGCATCAGCTAAGTTACAGTTTAAAAATGAAAGTAAACATGGTACTGTAACTTACCTAAAATCTTATCAAAATAGTTAAGAAAAGAATCTGCATCAAAAGTTATTGGAGGCTCTGAAGTTTCTCTGCAAGATTAAAGAAAAATGGTCAATTAGCGTATATTGAGCAGTTTTTTAAACTTAAAAAAAAGATATGCTGCTATTTTCCACTGGACAGGTATAAGTTAGAAGTATCAGAGATATAATTGCAAAAGAGATACAGCAAGAAAAATTATACTTTCAATTTTAATAATCCTTATGCTTTTACTTGCTTTGTAGGGTGACAGAAATAGGGAAGTCGGATAGAAAGATGGCACCTTGTTTACACGCACGTTATTTATACTGACTTTGGGACCTGCCCCATTCTCCACCAGCCACAATACAGATCTGGAATTTACGAGTTAGTCTAGATAAAATCTATCTCTTTAAGGACCAAAACACACAAAAGATGAAATCACAGCTTCTCTCATCTCAGTTTTCTTAAAAAACACTAAACATAACTTTAATCTTTTTATGAGGCTCCAGAACACTAAGAAACATGTATTTGCTGAATTGTAAATGTTGCAGTCACTGTTTCTCCCTATGCCTAATTTTATTTCTATTTCTTCTATAGTTACCACTGCTGTGGAGTGAGGTATTAGAGCTCTAATGTTAGAATCCATAATGTCTGTGTGAATGTCTAAGGAGTGTGCCACAGAGTGTCCCTGAGGGGTTTGGAGACCGACTGTGGCTTTCTGATATGCTGAACCACCTTTCCGTTTTACCTCAATGACTGCAAGGACCAGGTTGCTGGAAGTCTGACAGTAGAGAAATAAGTTATCAGGGAACTAGGCGTCCAAAGAAGGAAATAAAGTATACAATTTCTTCATTTAAAAAGAGTGGAAATGGCAATATAATTGGATGGCTCCAACATTTGAGTTCTTACTGTTTCTACTACAACATGAACTATGTACCGAGGAAGCTCTGCGCCCTTGTGCGTTGAGACTTTGGATATGAAAGCTTTCATGCTTTCTGAGACTTGAGTTAGGTCATAGTTCTGGTCTTCTTCCCTGGAAACTGGCTCTGCCTCTTTTTTGCCAGCAGCTTCCTGAAGCAGCTGATCCAGCTGAGCTGGAGAAAGATCTAACCACTGATCATCTGAAAAAGAAGCATGATATTGCCATAATATATATTGAAATCACATGAGGGAAGAATATTGAGCTTAGCAGAATATTTAAATCCTACAAGAACTCTTCCAGTCTATTCTGGTCTATCACTTACCATCTTCAGGGGGAAGATTACTTTCTTCTTTCTTAAACTCTTCTATGTCAATTGGTATTGTCTGTAATAATGTTAAGATTTCTTCACCTGGGCTCATAGCGAGAGAACTATACAAAAGAAAAGACATGGTATTTCTTGATCTTAGAGTACAGAATAGTAATAACAAAACCACAGGATGCTGACAACACTGGGGTTACCTAGTCTAGTAAAGGTTTTAAAATTTAGGTTTCAGAACCAATTTTCCCAATCGAATTTTACCATGAACTCTGAAATTCAAGGACTCAGAGAAAAAACTGCATTGGTTGAAATGGATGTGGGAGGCTCAGCAATATACCTATTTTGTCATCTCCCCTGCTTCCTCTACAGACTCGCAGGGTTGCATTATAAGTCACTGAGCTAGTTCAACCCCTTCAATTTATATATGATGAAAAGACGACCAAGAGGTAACTATGAGCTAACGTTAACCTGTTGTTGTTGTTATGTGCCGTCGAGTCATTTGTGACTCATAGCAACCCTATGTACAACAGCCCTAAACTGTGCTCTATCATGTGCCAATCTCATTGCCTCTGACACACCCATCCCGATTAGCCCAGTCACTGAATCAATCCACCTCATAGAGGGTCTTCCCCTCCTGCACTGTCCCTCCACTCTGCCCAGCATGATGTCCCTCTCTAAAGACCTGTCTCTCCTTACAACACGTCCAAAGTATGTCAGGCGAAGCCCCAGAATTCTTGCCTCCAAGGAGCAGCCTGGTTTAACCCTCTCTAGGATGAATCT